TTGAACAAATTAAAGATTGGTATCGTTAAGAAGGTTCGTTTATTAGATCGAACAGTCCAACCCGTGTTTTGCTGAATTTCGAAACCTTTTGTTCGGTTCTCAGATATGTCTGAGGTGTGTAGTATTAAGTAAAGTTTTTTTTCCATACATTTTGGAGTTATTTGGTATGATTGGTCGGATTATAATAAGAATCAGTTTCCAAACCTTTTTGGAGTTAATTGGAATTAGTATTTAATAAAACACAAAGGGTTTTGAAAATATTACAACGGAGATGTGAATTTCATGATACAGAATAAGAAATAAAATGAGTACAGTATTTTAATATAAACACAGAACAAAGTCACAAAAAAAAAAATTAGTGCTTGAGAATAAAACATTATTAGTAAATTAAAGGAAACAATCTTCGAAACTTCTTTCTAATCGCTAGATTACTAATACTCGCTTTACATAAAACTATTTAAATATTCAGAATATTCAACACCATTTTGAAGGTTATTTGTGGTGTTTCATTAGAAGTTCATTTCTAATTTAGTATAAAAATTTTGAAATTTATTTAAATTTCAAAATTTTTATTTCTTAAGCATTGGCGAGAATGTAAGCTACATTGTGAACTCATCTGTAGTATTGAAGCTTTATGTTTCAAATCAAAGCTTCAGTTACTTTCATGCAAGTTTTGCGCCCTCTCTACGTGAAATGACAAACTGCTTTGCCCGTGTATTTAAAATTTGATGTGAGTTCCATCCAACGGATCTCATTTACTTTCCCTCCGGGCTGGTTGATGATTTCGAAAAAGATATGATGACCAAAATATACTAGCTACTGGTCAAAAGAAAAAACTCCCACTGATCGATGTTCGTGGGAAGAAGAAAGCATTATTTAGCGTAGGATAAAATGAGATGAAATTCATTTCCCGCAGCTCCAATACAATAGCGTATTGTTTGAGGCGATTAAAAAGACATTTAGTAATCGAGTGGTCCATATGGGGTTTTGAATTTTACTTTGGTGGTCCACGTCCTCTTGAGAACACGTAAAAAAGTATCGCTGCTTAAAGATATTAAGTAACCTTCAATTTGTGAAAAGTTGATAGTGCGGCCTGATTATCAACGTAACAGTGAGTTTAGTGTTGTCAAAATTCCTAAATAAATAGTCAAATTTAAAACTATATGTGTTCCTAGGATTGTGGTTAACCTGTGTAGTCAAGTTAGACCAGACTAGTTGTCTGAATTTGAAACTTAAAACTAGTCAGGTAAGATCTCGTACAAAAATTGCTCGGTGAAAGATGTGATTTTCTACAAACTTGTACACGTTGAACAGGAACAATACCCACCGCTCAACGTGGGTGTTTGTTTGGAGTGGCTCATTCGCTGATCGGTCGTTTCAGTCGGTTTGTGCTGACCCAGTGGTGAACCAAGTAGCACCGAGATACGGTAAACGCCGAGCTTGACTAAGCTAGGCCGCCCAACACCCTACGGTCCGACACCCCACACAAAATCTGCACGAAAACAGCGAAGACGACAGTATCGCCGCCACGTGGTCGTTTGTGGCGACCGTTCAGGTAACGTGAGCTATCAACGGCCCGAACCATTCGTTACGAGCCGTTACGTCATCGGACGTCGAAACATCGCACGTGCGCGAACGTGCACAGGACTGCCCTAACTAAACTCATACGCGTAGCTTACGCAAGGTGAGCGTGACCGCATGATCGTCGTCCCGGTTACCCGAACGTGAATGATTTCCGGTTACCGAGACCGATTCCAGGTCAGTACGAAGTTGTCGAGCAGCGTATCCTGCCATCGTGAGCCAGCATAGCAGGACACAGGTTAGCGTAGAATTAAGCGAACTTTGTACCCACAAAATAGAACCTAGTGACGTCACTTTTCAGGCAGGGAACCCAACATTGAGAAATGATTAATACAATGATTTTACCTGTAGCAATCCTAAAAGCAAATATGTAGGTTCTTTATTTTCAAGTTGACGTTGCCACATAGGGTGTTCTGGGGAATTTATTTGTGTTTCGATCACACCGCTGCGGGGGACAGAATATCCTCTCATTATTCTCAGATTGAGTTAGGGATATAGTTTTTCGGCCTGCGGATTGGGAAAGCTAAATTGGATTCGGGTGTTTGAGCGTTAACTACCTGCCTTGAAATAGAGTCTCTAGCCGAGCACTCCAACAGCAACAGCAGTCTCTCAACTTACGAGAGTGGCGCTTAAGCTGCTGAATGCCTGAAACTTTTGCATTCGTTACAGCACAATCACACGGACTTTGTATTGCTTCCACTCAACCTAATTAACTTACAATTTTTAAACCGAATTTCACTGGTTGATTCCGACGTCGAAAACCTCCGAGAGCTTCTTGCCCGGAATCATCACCTTCAGCAGTTCCTCTTCCAGATTGAGCGGAAAGGTGTAGTGCTTCCGAATCGTTTGCATCGAATTGCCACGCAACGCTCGGACGACATTGGAGCAGTTGGACTTGTAACGTGCACCCAGAGCACAGATGATCGATCCGAAGTGCAGATAGTTCTTGTTGCTGAATGCACTGAACTTCACGCTGTAATTGCCTAGTCCACACCGGAGACGTAGCTTTTGTCCGTCAGAGCCTGCTCGACACCCTCCGACAGTTTGGCATGTTTTCAGCATCGATTATCCCAATGATGTGATCCTTGAGGTACGTGCTGAATACGTCTACCGTCAACAGGCAGGTCTTCTTGATGGTGATAACCTCGGAGTCCTCCTTGAAGCACATGATGTAACCAATTGGGACGCTGATGTCCACCGCGTCGAAGCTCTTGTCCTTAACAAAGGCTCGCCACGATTCACAGAATTCACTCGGGAAGTTGTCCTTGGAGAAGACGCCTAACGTTTTGCCATCCTTGGATCCCTTGATTGCCTCCAGCAGCTTTTTAAAATTGGCCTTGTCTTGGTCGTTCTTATCGCGAACCAACAGCTTCACCGACGAAATGCCCTCCACACCGTTCTTCTCGATCTTCTTTTTGCTGGTCAGTGGACTATTCGCACAGCACTGTAATCGTATCGGTCAGCTCGTATCCCAGCAAGCGAGGTGGATTTGCTGTAGATGGTTTCCTCGTCTACGCCGACCGCCGTCAGAATGCAATCCACCTTCTGCAGTGAATCATCGTCGGTAGAAGGAATCCTTATCGAGCACGATATTCGACATTTTTCGGAGCCGTTCAGTTATCGCATCCAACGGTTTTCGATGCGGGGACACTTCCGGTTGATCTCCGGCTGTTTTTCTTTGTTGTGTCCTGTTGGACGGCTGAGACCGCTCACGATCCATCTCGCCAGCATTCCTCCTTGGTTGTCGCTAGACCGATGTTATCCTTGCGATTGCAAACCAAAACATTCAAGCTGTCAGAAATGGCGGGTTGCCAAATATAACATAATATTCGTATTTTACCAAAAATCACAGCTTGCTCTATGACCGGCACAATTGGTACACTTGCGGCATTTGCCCCTTGGGTAGAATAGCAGGATAATTTGAAAAAATTGCATCTGCCAAATTTAAGTGAAAAATTATCAAACGGAACACAGACTAACAACGCCATTGACGTCAACATTGATTCCGGTATCGGTTGGATTTGACTGCAAATTGGCTCGAAATCGCTACCTGATTGTCAAGTCCCGTCCCAGGTTTAATGCAATCCGGCTGTAAAGCCGGCGCGCTGAAGATAAGCAGACACACACACACTTGACGTGTGATTGCGTTGTGCATTGTGAGTGAGTAAATAAATATAATAATAAGTACATAGGTACCCACCGACTGATTACCACTGGAGTAACGTGCAGCGCTGATAGAGATAAAACAAGCTCCGCTCACGACGGTTTACTGTGATTGTTTTAGCGCAATGTCATCTAGGCATTCTTTCATTCCAATCAACCTTTCTCGATGTGGCAGGGGGTCGCAGAGAGGTCTGTTGTTAATTAAGTTAAGTTAGATCAAGATAGTGTTTTAAATTGATCACAGCTCACAGTTGCTTAGAGTTGTGACAGTCTGGTGATACATTCCCGATCCAATCGGACCCCCCCATTTTTTCACGACAATCTACTAATGAGTTTCAGTTTCGTAATCGTGCCACGCATTCCAATTACCATATTTGCTAAAACGGGCGGCAGAGCTCAATTGAACAGTGCTTGTCGGTGTGTGCAAGCTTCCCTAGATGGACATGCCGTCGTCTCCGCTCGGGCTTCCTCTTCACGTTGACCGACCATTGGACCGGTGACGAGTGGGCTCAACCATGGCTAACTTGGATTTGGATGTTGTTGTTGGACGAACGATGCATGATGTCATTCAACAACAACGACAACAGTTTATTGACAGTGCAGCGAGCGCGGCGGTGGCTTCAAGTTGATGACGAAAATTGTGCTTCTAGTAATGGCAGCAAAAATAGCAACGCCTGGAGGCGTGATTTGGTAATATTGATTCGGAGATCTTTACATCATTAGCATTTTTTAGGTGGAAATTTGACACTCCACCATCTAGGCTGTTTCAATATTTACGCCGGTGTTGTTTTGCTCTATCGTATGTTTATACTCACATTTCAAAATACCAGTAGAGGGTTTCCGTCTAACTTTTACATTTATTGGTCATGTGTTCAAATAGCAACTTGAAAGCGATAAGTGGAGTGTTTGAGAAGTGCGTGAGTGCGTTCATTTAATCTAGAAACAAAAAATATTTTCCATTCGGCTTACCTCGCATCACCTAACCCAGCTGAAAATTTCCCCCAGTGTCATTTAGCAGCTCAGTAGATCCCAGTAGCAGCAGTAGTACTAATTCCGAAACCCGTTTTTTCATATTTTTTTACCGTAGGCAATTGCCCAAACTAACAACTGGATTTTCTTCTCTTTTTTTCCCCTAATAATAAACCGAATAATATTAAAAAAAAATTGCGCATGCGCATAACCTCTCTTGCCCCATCCGCCAAATAATTAAAAACAACTGTGTCGTGTTCCTGGTCTGCCCACCAATCTAAACACAGTTTTTCCACCAAAAAGACAGCGACATCCAGCAGGTATTTACCAAAACGAACGAGATTATACGCTCGCTAGTATAGTATCAATTCTACTCTCTGTTTTATTTTCTATTTATAGTACCTCACTTTATAATTCTTTCTTCTGTTTCTACAATTATTCATCTCTCTCAGCCTGTTGAATGTGTAGTTTTTTATTACACTCGGAACACCCACCCGTTACTAAAAAAAAACACCGTGACTGATTGTTTGTTCGTTCGTTCGTTCGTTACTGTTCTTACATAACCTGAAAAGTCACCTCATTTTCTCAGACAGAGCATTTCCTGGCCAAATAGCAAAAATTGAATTTCAGACCCGATTTGCATGAAACTTTGCATATTTGTTTGCTATGGTCAATCATTAAATGGCCTATTCGATATTTTCTAACAAATCATAACTCGATTAAAAATGACCGAATTTTAGCAAACAATTGTGCAAAGTTTCGTACAAATGGGAGAAAGCTCGCGGCTGATCGATTCGTCATTTGGCGTGGAACTGCTCGACAATGACTCGATAAACAAAACAACACGCAAAAAGCATGGCTTTAGTTAGTGATCGCTTCCACTTCTTACACTCTCACCAATCAATCAATCATAACTTCACCCCATATCCGAGCTCTCGCGATTGCATCACGATCAATTAATCCCTCTTAACCTGATCGCCGACATTTTTGTGTTACTTCGCGATGGGCTGTCATCGATGATCACCCAAGTGAGAAAGTCAATATTTACCTCCGCCATGTGCCCAAGTGTCAATGCCGTCACCGTTTATTCTGTTCGTTAGAATCACACGTCGGTCGCCTTGGTCGTCGTTGTTTTCACCGGGTATTGAATTCATCCAGCATCCGCCATTTAAAATCCAGTTAAAATCTTTGTGTAAACGCACAGGGTGTAGGAAAAATTTCAGTTTATTTATCTTTTGTTTAATAGTTCGGGCAATTTATTTCAGCGGGTCAACATTGAATAAAACAGCACTTCTCGCGCTCCCTGTATTGCAAATTTGCCGTACATTATTTATTGCTATTTAATTTATTAATAGCGGGTGATCTCACTGTTTTACATTTCATCTTTTTTACACCGTCTTGTTCTGTATCACAAATTGAGCACAATATGGGATTGCTTGGGATCGTCGTCACGGAAATCAACAAGTGAAAATTAACACATTATGCCGGTTGTATCGTTGTACACGGTAAGAAAAAAATACTCAAAATTAAGTTAAAAAAAACTCAACGTTGGGTTTTATCATTTGAGGTCCGCCGTTGAGTAAATCAGAAAAGCGGCGTTGGTTAAAATTTACTCAACTATTGAGTAATAACAAATAAACTCAAATATAAGTTTATTTTAATTGAGGTTGCTCTTATGCGACTTTAACCATTTCATTTTCACAAGCGTTGATAGACGAGTGGTCATCACACTGGCCCCGTAATCTCAACGTCCATGGTTCGGTTCCAGTCTGCTCCGTTTTATTATTTTTTTGTCAACTTCAGGATTACTCAAAATTGAGTTTTCTTCTTTAACTTAATTTTACCTAGCCCCACGGAAGCCACGTGATGAGTGAAAGGAACTTAATTTTGGGTACTTTTTTCTTACCGTCTAGGCATATGCATCCGTCCGATCGTAGTAGGTTTTCCTTCTATAGAAAATTGTGAATCTGACACTGATGCATCGCATGAAAGTAACGTCACCTATTATTACTGGTGCACCGGTACGTCATTTTGTGAGGAAAAAAACGGTTGGAGACGCTGATGGTGGTGTGCTAATGGATTGAAGCGGACAGAATTATGGCGTTGCATTCCACGTGTGTTTATTTTAATTCATCGACGACGACGACGACGACAACGGTTCTCTTTCTCTTATGACTGCGATATGAGTTAATAGTCTACCGAATGGAACGGGGTACCGTGAAGAAAGCCTCTGTCTGTATTATATGTACGATGTCAATTATTCAAATTGGATTTAAGTTGTACATATTTACATGCTAAGCCTTCGTGTTGTTGACAACGGTAGCAAGGGTAGCTAGGCTATGTTCGTGGGTGGCAGAGACAGAAAGATTGAATTCCGTACTGTAGATAATTTCACGGAAGGATTTAACCTCACTTTTTTACAGTTTCGAGAACTTATTTACAGGGTGTTATAGTGGAACACATTTACATTCACTTCGGGCAGTAATTTACATTAATTTGTCTCTAATTTTTTTCATCATTGATCGGTGCTCGATAGTTCCCGCGATTAATGTGTTGAGATGCTTCAAATGTGGAGAATTTGGGCACAAGAGCAGCGTTGGAAAATATCGCGATATTTCACGAAGTTCACCAAGGGAAAAGTTCGCGAGTCATAGTGAGTTTTGGTGAACTTTTCCAACACTGCACAAGAGCATGGATTGCAAAATATGTGATATATGGTCTAGGTGCAGCCAACAACACAAAACGTCGGAGTGTACGTCAACTGTATTGAAATGTATTGTTTGAAAATGACTAAAGAACGTAACATGAACTTGGACGTCAACCATGCCGCATTTGGCTCTGAATGTTTGCTCTATAAAAGACTTTTTGATCAGAAGAAAAGCAGCTTGCGTTTTAATAAATAGCAGCCAAGTTCCAGGAATGTGAATCAATTCGTTTTTTTTGTATTTGAATATTGCGGAGTTGTCAACAAACAACGTAGCATTACGTCAGATTGTTGAGGAAAAACGTCCTCTTTTAGTTTCATTATCTGAAACTCATATTGTAGAAACTGAAGGTTTTGATCAGTATAGTATTCCGGGATATATTGTTGCTGCTTGCTTATCACATTCTAGACACACTGGCGGTGTTGCTATTTATCTCAAAGAATCAGTTCCATTCAACCTTCGTACCAACGAAGTTATTGATGGCAACTGGTTCTTGGGCATTACAGTTGTACGTGGCATGAAGATGGGTAATTATGGTGTTTTGTATCATTCTCCCAGTTCTAGTGACCAGCGTTTTGTTGAAGTTTTAGAGAACTGGCTCGAGACATTCCTTGATTCTAGTAAATTAAATATATTAGCTGGTTATTTCAATATGAATTGGCGTGATAACTATAATTCGAATCATTTGAAGCGTTTAGCTGAGTTTATCAATTTAAAGCAAACGGCAAATGAGTATACGCGTATTTCCAGGCACAGTAGAACTTTAATTGACCACGTTTATTCAAAATTTTGATTCCATTTGTTCAGCTAAGGATACTGATTTGAAAATAACCGATCATGCGACCTTAGTGATTAATGTCTTATACCATGTTAACTATAATGATAATTTTGTAAAATTGATGTGCTGGAGGAAATATTCGAAACAGGCTGTTTCGAATCTTGTTGAGAGGAGCGTGGATTTTCCATTCGCGGCCGGTAACTTAGATGAATCTACAGCTGTTCCTAATAACGCTTTGAAAACGTGTACCAATCAACTACTTGAGCAAAAGTTTGTTTCTTTGAAAAACTCGAACAGCTGGTACAATTTGGATTTTTTGCGTTTTAAACGGAAAAGGGACAAATGGTACAAAAAGTTTTGTACCTCAAATAATGACAATCATTGGGCTAGGTACACAATCGCGCGTAATAAGTATTCACATTCGATAGAGAAAACTCGTTGTGAATATGTTCAAAGGAAGATTGATCAGCATCAAAACAACAGCAAAAAGTTATGGAAAATTTTGAAATCCTTATTAAAACCTAGTAATTGCAAACCGCTGTCCATAACTTTTAATGGCACATTAATAGAACAGTCAGAGCGAGTTAGTGCATCTAAGTTAAAAGATTATTTTGTAGACAGTGTTTCATTGATCAATCAATCCATTGAATTGGTCGTTGAACCTGACGAAATAAAACAGCCAGTTGATAATAGTTGTAGATTTGAAGGTTTTCACCCAACTACATTAGATGAACTTAGAGTTATTTGTTTTTCATTAGGAAAATCGGCTGGAGTAGATAATGTTAATGCTAGAGTTATTCAAGATTGCTTTCATGTCATTGGCCACATCTTGCTGGACCTTATTAATGAATCATTGCAAACTGGACATGTGTCACAAATTTGGAAGGAATCCTTAGTGGTCACTATTTAAAAAGTTGCCGGAACGAATAAAGCCGAAGAGTTTCGTCCCATCAACACGTTGCACACATTGAAGAAAATGTTAGAGCTTTTTGTTAAAAGCCAGCTGTCGAAGTTTTTAAATAGCAATAGTTTGTTGATACCAGAACAATCGGGATATCGGGAAGGTCATTCTTGTGAAACTGCATAGAATTTGGTATTAGCGAAGTGGAATTGCTGTTTTTTTGGATCTCAAACGCGCTTTGAAACACTTTCTAGGCCCTTATTGTTAAGATCAATCAAACGCTTTGGAAATACGGAGTACTGCATATAAATGGTTTGAAAGCTATTTGTCTGACAGAACTCAACGGACTGTTTTTAATGATTCTGGTTCCAGTACCGTGGGGAATAACCTTGGAGTGCCTCAGAGAAGTGTATTAGGGCCCCTGTTATTTATTATGTATATTAATGACTTGAGACGTGTTATACGATTTTGCGACATTCGTTGCAGCTAAGGATTTAGATGATGCCGTTTTACACTTGAATGAAGATTTGCGTTCTCTAAGTAGATGGTTGAAGTGTAAGCAGTTGAAATTGAATACAAGTCGAACTAAATTTATGGTAATTTCGCGAATTCGAGTAAATGAGAACGTCTCTGTTGTAATTGATGATGAGACTATTGATCGCGTTCGCGAGATTAAATATCTTGGCGTGATTATTGATGACAAACTTAAGTTCAACTCTCACATTGACAATGTCATCAAAAAAAAATTGCCAAGAAGTATGGAATTCTACGTCGACTTGAACTTTGAAGGTTTTGATATCAGCTACACTTTGACGAACTAGAGCAAGAAAAACAATGGTGGGTTCTGTTCACTCTAGTTCATGACGCATAAGAGATTCCGAGGGGTGCGACACATCTAAATCTAGATTTTAAATGGTCGAAAAATCTCACACCAGC